GACTTCCAATTGTTTAAAAATTACACCAAGAAGATGACCCTATCACACATCATGCTGAAATGAAATGAGTGTAGAAGGGAGCAAGAACCACATGTGGATTTTTGGGTGGGAAGAGTGAGTTAATTCTTTTTAATACTTGGAATAATAAAAAAAGGACATTATTTAAATTTCTGGAATCTCAACATTCTAATAAAAGTCTGATAGATACTTCCAGCCTCTCTGGGCACTCTTTTCTGGTGTAAAAGAATGGAAGGAGACCAGAAAAGTTAATTTTTCTGAATTGCACTGGGAAGCTTCCTTAGACAAGAATGCAAAAGAAGTATGTTTATGCTGATGTCACTAAAAAGGTACTATGGCTTTAGGCATTTTCATTATGCAGCACCTGACTAGAACTTTTTTTAAAGTTAGTTAAAATTTTACAGCCCATTTAATCCTGAGGATTTAGGAAAGGCCTGAGAATTTAAACACGTTATCATAAATTTGGGGGGTTGTTCTGAAGAGCATTTCAGGGATCCTATAAAGAGATTTAGACTGTCAAGGGAAACTTTCTCCATCCCAAGAAAATATAATTTGGGTAGATCTAAGGGGAAATGTCCTGAGTGTACCTAAACGGGAAATGATTTATTCCTTTGTCCTATCAGTTAATCGGAGTGTGTGTGTGTGTGTGTGTGTTTGTGTGTATGTGTGTGAGAGGGCGGGGGTGGGGGTGGGGTGGGGGAACTCAGCCCAAACTGGAATTGAAAAAGATGTTGAGTTGTTTCTGTTCTCTGCACCATGGTGTGGATTCCTTTAGAAATCTGAATCTTTTGAATTGTAACAGCATCTTATATTCTACTGCATGGATGTGTGCTAAGGAGACATATCACAGGAAAATGCCATGTATCTGCAGGTATCTCTTCTCAAGGAAACTGAATCTTGGATGAACCTGCATTTACAAACAGGTACAATTTAACCAACTGCAACCTCCTCAAGACTGTCAATCTCCTCCCCAATTCTTTTGCGGTGCTGACAAATTCTTCCTTTCAGTCAGACAAGCAGGTAAAACCTAATCACCCTTAGAGAAGAAGAAAAAACTTTATTTTAGTCAATGACCAGCAGGTAGCAAAATATAGTAGAGATATTCATCATTTAATGTCCACTTGTTCAGTGACCATTTGAAGTTACAACGGCACTGAATGAGGTGTACTTAGGGGTTCTTGCAGTTGTGGTTGTTGCAGCGTCCTTGCAGTCACATGATCGCAACTCAGTGACTGATTCTTAATTGCGACATTGCAGCATCCCACGGTCACATGACTGCCACTTGTGACCTTCAGTGCCAGCTTCCAACAAGCAAAGTCAATAAGGAAGCCAGCAGGAGGTCACAAATGGCATCACGTGACCACGGGATACTGTGACAGCAAGGGATTTGCCTAACAACAGCAGTTGGGACTGTTGGAACTGCCAACATAAGTTGATGTGGTCACATGCTAACAATAGAATATCAATACTTTGTTACAGTTAGTGACTAATATAATACAGAATAATAAAACAATTGATGGATATGAAATAATAGGATCCTATGCTCTCATAAATAATTATACAATTGTTCCCTTTCTGCAGGCAGTGTAACAGACAATAAATACCAGAGATACAATAAATCAGGATGGCCTGGGTAATTTGCTATTAATGGTGTCAAATAATGGGCAGATAAAAAGGACAATATAGAAGAAAGTGAGCAGTGGTTTCCCCATGTCCAGTTCCACATGGGCAAAGCTGGTCAATATGAGGATTTTTTTTTATATCTCCCTACCAAGACAGCTGTAGGCAAAACATTAAATCATGCTGATGTCATAGCCTGCCTATATTTGGATATTTCAGATGCCTTTAGGTATCTGGCTAGAGTAAGGTTAAAAGCTGAACATCCAGATGGACCCCGACTGGCTCATAGGATTGAGCTTCCTGGTTTTCTATATCTATTATTGTCTGCCTTATCTTGGCCTTGGCTTGATCATAACCTAAGGCTAGTATTGCCTCCAGAGAATAGCTACAATGATTCAACTTGTATACGAAGGAGCTTTTCCATTCCTGATCATTTATCTGAGATCAAGGGGCCAGACCACTAGGGTAAAAGACTGTTTTTAACCAACAGTTCAGGGTATTTGAGTACTGTACACTAGTTTCCAGCCACAAAAGGACATTAGATACTGTACATTGTAGATGTGAAACAAATCTGTATTGCAATTAGATTTGTAATGACTGGGATAGGTAAGAATAGCTTCAACAGCAGCTCTTCAGAAGCTGGAAACAAGTGATGCTATTATCCTTGGTTGAGTTTGGTGGTAACTGCTTTGACCCTAATCACAATACAGATTTGTTTCACATCTCCAGTGTAGAAGTCGTACAGAATCTAATGTTATTCTCTGGCTGGAAATTAGTATACTCAAATTGATACAATGATGTGCCAGGATCCAGTCTCCACTGAGTGCAGCTGAATGTGCCTTGGACTCTGCAGGCCCTAAGCAATGGCATCAGACATTCTTCCCTCTCCCAATGCAAACTATTCTGCCACACATTAATTGACAACACCAAAGAACTATATAGTTTTCCAACATTCCAGTCTGGCATCTGTTTACTCATCTAGCATCTAAGACTCTTTCTCAGGACATCCAACCTCTTTTGCTTTCTATGCCCCCCCCCTTTTTTTGCAACTATCATCTTAGCCTCATGTTTTCTCATGAGTATGCTTGGTTTCCTAAAGTTCATGTGTTTTGTGGAGCATTTCTGGAGAGAGGAACTTTGCCTGACTCCTTCTGAGATGGACATTCAACCTTGTCATCATGCCATAATCCTTTCAACTCAGTGCCAGAATTAGATTCTAATTCAGAAACTTTCCTAGCTGCATTTTAACAAAAATTAAGGAGCCAGAAAACATGAGTACAACTCTCCCAAGATATAATTTACTTATCATTTACTGGTATTAGAATAGTGATAAATATTATACTTGCATATCTCTATTTTTATTAGTTGACCCATAATTTTCTTAAACCAATGAGAGTGCTTTACCAATCATATTTCAAAATGGTTAAGAGATAATTTAGATATCTCTGCACATAATTTCATGAAGAATAAGAAGTGCATCTATGAAATGTATTTCAAATAATTCACACCATTCTTTTGAAGTTTTTGTTGTACAAACTTATACAAAATCAAACTTGGCAAAAGTCACCACCACCACCACCACAGATTTACAATTTCAAGCCAGGTGACTTCTACACATTCTGGGGAGAAGGGAATAGGAAACACCTGGTGGAAAGAAATAGGGGTGGCGTTTCTTGCCAGCTTTATACTTCCATGAAATTTCTTCTAAACCCACACAGGCACGAACACTGAAACTGATGATCAACCAGTGATGTGCTTCAAATCCAGAAAGGAAAAAGGATGCACAAGTGATGACAGGCCAACCTGCTGCTTCTTGCTCATGCTTAGAGTTTTAGTGAATACATTTCTCTCTCTCCCCCCAGTCAGTATTACGATTATAAAACTGATGGGGGTGAGGATAAAGGAATACCCTTCTATCTTCCCTGTGAGACACATCAGGCTGAGAAGCACTTTTATCTTTAATAATTAATATCTGCCACCACCCACCTAAATTAGTCTGAGGCTAATTAGGATGAATTCAAATGTGTCATGCTTTGGCCCAAAAGGGGCAAACATTCCAGTGGGTGGGACTGGCCCTTTAAATTAGGAAAAATATTCAATCAAGTTCAGGATTCTAATTCAAACGTTCATTAAATAAGTAATAGGTGAGTAACGGAAGTAAGGAGATTGCACAAAAAGAAAGGCTAGCTATATTTACAGGCTAGCTATCTTTACACAGATAGTTTTAGTTGTCTCAGAAACTTAAACAAAGTACAGCATCCAATCCTTTTATCAGTTCATGGAATAGCTGTACTCTTGGAGACAGATGCCTCTTCCAAGTCAGCCAAAGTTTTCTGTAGGGCCAACATAAGACATTTTGCTTCGTAAGGCAAAGAGTAAGATGGAAAGGTAGGATCTATCTTCCGTATTCCGAAGCCACTGGACTGCATTTGAATTTTATTTTTAGAGATAGGACAGGAGGGCCATGAAGCACAGAAAGCTTTGTGCTTTAACATCTGGTGCTATTCCCAGTGCCCCAAACATCTGCTGATAAAGCCTCATTCTGCTTAATAATGTGATTGGGTCTGGCAAAGCTTTTGGACTACACAGATCACTTGCTTTACTGTTATTGAAGGAGTTTTGTAAGTACTTCACAAGTAAGACATAAAAATTCTTTGGAGGGAGATGGAATTTGGGAGTTCAGCATTAGAGTGTACCAGAAATTGTTTGGGAACGTTCTTAAGATAAACTTCAATTTGCTGAAACATAATGATGTATACAAGAAACCCTTAAAAGTACTATTGTAATCTTTCTTCTTCTTCAGAATGTTAAAGTCTGATTCACAGACAGCCGAGCTCTGTACATGGTTGGACAAACACTTTCCAGCCCCTGCTTTGCAATGGAAAAAAAAAAAGTTGCATTGCCCCTCAACCCCCCATTAAAGGATGGAGAAAAATTAATGGCTATTCATTTTTTTCTCCTGCCCTGCAGGAGGTATTCTGAAAGTACTGGAGTGGTTCATTGTCAGTGTCTCTGACTCAGTGATAGGATTGGTTTGACAAACAGTTAAGTCTGACTCCTATTTTTATACCACAATTACCTCAACAGGGCAGGCCTTTTGAAGTTATGAAGGATGTAAGACAAATCACTATGACAAAAACTGAAGTCATTGATTTTTCATACCATAGAAGCAATTGACATTTTATTTATTTATTTGTTTTATTTATTTTGCAATTTGAAATTTAACTCTAAACTCTGGATGGCTCATAGCTGGAAAAAAAAAAAGGAGAGAACAGTATATAAAAAGGTTAGTTGAATAACCTACTGATTAAAGCTAACATCCATGTACACATAAATAAACAATTTCTGAAATGGGTTTTTACCTATTACTTTTGCTAGAAAGAGTGACTTCAGTGAGCTGAACTGGAGGCTTGATGGTCCTGGCATGGTGTAGCTTACTGGGGGATAAAGATCCAGCTGGAGAAACATGAAAACAAAGATGTCAAACTTTGAAGACTGCAGGCTAACAAAGTTACTGAACTAGTTCTTCCTTGATGAGATTACATTACTCTACTTTCAGGTGTTCTTGTTTCATCCCTGATAAGCAGTGCACCACAGTTAGCATCCTCAGGAATCAAGGTCAGACCATTCTTTTGAAAAGGAGCCTTCAGAATATGGTGTCACATTCAGTCCCATACCGCCTCAAATTCACATGGTCACATAAATCCACAAAAAATCAGTACTGATTTTCTGACTAATACATTTTATTAAAAGGCATAAGCTTTCAGGATCTGCCACCATAGACTAACACAACTCTCCTTCTGTAAGATCCACAATATTTTCTAATATCCATTAAGTGAGAAACTGAACTGGCAAATGTAGAAATGACAGGCATTTATTTAATCCCTCACCATATTTCTGGTAGAACTAACCAGATTGCAAAAGAAGCCTATTCAGATTTGATGCAGATCCAAATGGTAAATTTGATGCCAAATTTTGTTAAGATAGAAATGAGAGTAAGAGAAAAAAGAGAGCATTCTAGGTTTAAATTTCAGCTTCAATTTTTTTTTTTTTGAAGAGAAACATAGAATTTTGGATCTCTTTGTTAGAGAATCAAAAACACCCTACATTTATTTTGAGACAATTTGACCTTTCTATATTTGAGACATTCAGACTGACAATTTGTTTAAATATTATTGACTGTAACTCAGATTGAAATTAGGGGGTAAGAGGAGCTAGAAATGGGAATGTGGAGAAAAGGATGTAAATTTCACAGCCCAATAAATTTTGGCATGCTGTTATAAATAGTAATGTTTAAGTACAAAAGCTCCCAAAATTCCATGTTAATTATGAACTATATAAAGCATAAATTAGGTACATTTTCATGCAGCTTTTTAATGTTTACACTGACACTTTTAGTTAGTTAGTTAGTTAGTTAGTTAGTTAGTTAGTTAGTTCTATATGAAAGTATTCAGACATTCTTGGCCAAATGCTACAAATGGCAAATGCCCCAAACAAAGAAGGAAGTTGGATGCAAATTACATACCTTGACTACAAAACTTTAAAATACTATGTTAAAAGTACAGTGCATTTGGGAACTGAATTCTGGTTCTTTGACATGATATATATTATTATAATGGAACCTAATCTGGTAAGAAAAAAGCTATCAGATGATTAAGATCATAAAAAAATAAAAATAAAGTTTATTTTTGGGGTGATACTGCAAGCAGTATCTATTGGATTTACAGGAATATCACTGTGCATAAGTGGGTATATATTGTTATTTCCCACCATTACAGGAATGTGAGTATCTTTTGCCAAGGAAATAGTAATTTCCATGAAACACAGACGCTAGTAGTCAGTTTATATGGAGGATTAATATGCATATCATAGATCTCAAAGGCTCAACCATTCAGGAAAAAAAAAATAACACTGTCTCCATATGAAATGGCTGCCAGACTCAACAGTTCTGGGAAAATGCAGCACTCAGTGTGATTGATTGGCCGGGAAATGCAGAAGTTTTTGTTTTGCTGGCAGGAGTCTTTCTGAAAGTTATGAAATGGTGACATCTAGTGGCTGTCAATGAGTAAACCAATAGAAGGGGAAGATTTGCACTGCTCCTATTCTTGGTACTCTATAGCTTTTTCTAATAGACTTGAGAGCATAACTAACAATACCAAAAACATTATATGGATGTGTTACTTGCTTCCTATCTTTTTTTTTTCCCCACACAAGAGTTCTCTTCTGTCAGAGTTGACTTATGTTTATAATTGCATCACAGTACAATTGAATATCAAAGAAGGAATGAAGTTTTGGGTTTATTTATTCTACAGGCCCTGGAGAAGCCTGATTTTGTGACATGTAATTTAATAATCATCAATAATAATAAATTTTATTGTACACCATCCAGAGTCTTCTGAGTGGTATTAAAATGGTTAATAAAAATATTCAATTGTAGTTTGAGATTTTAAAATGCATTCCAGTTAATGAATTATATTTTCTTGAAGAGAGGCACGATCCAGGAAAAACATCTGTACCGGAAAAATATTTAAGAACATAATGAATATGTAATACCTGAGATTTAGAAATTCCTCCAGCAAGGATTTCTAAATATATGGTATTACTATAAAAAGTAGTAAATTCAGTACCACTTCAAATTTGGTACTATTGCAGACACGACAGTGTCTCTGCACATTATGATTCTGTCTAATAGTCATATTCCTGTAGGAAAAGTGGGATTTAAATCTAAAAAATAAATGAATTTCTTTTAAATAAAATCTGACATGGGGCCTGGTAAGGATGATCACATTTAGCTTTCAGAAAAGAGGAAAGAGGCTGGAGAGGAGCTAGTTTCATATAAAATAAAGCAAAATAAAACAAGCGCTCAGAAGCTCCATACAATTCTCATTGTCAAATATTAAGGCTTTTGAAAAATGATTATGACATATAATAATAAAAATTTAACATTTTAATTAAAAATCAGGCTTCTCCAGGGCCTGTAGAATAAATAAACCCAAAACTTCATTCCTTCTTTGATATTCAATTGTACTGTAAGGCTTCTCCAGGGCCTGTAGAATAAATAAACCCAAAACTTCATTCCTTCTTTGATATTCAATTGTACTGTAAGGCTTCTCCAGGGCCTGTAGAATAAATAAACCCAAAACTTCATTCCTTCTTTGATATTCAATTGTACTGTAAGGCTTCTCCAGGGCCTGTAGAATAAATAAACCCAAAACTTCATTCCTTCTTTGATATTCAATTGTACTGTAATGCAATTATAAACATAAGTCAACTCTGACAGAAGAGAACTCTTGTGTGGGGAAAAAAAAAAGATAGGAAACAAGTAATAATAATCCATTGATCAATGCTCTTTATCATCTATTTCAAAGATGAAATAAATGTTTCATATATATTTCATTCATAGATTGCTTAAGTTTTCTCCACCTTTTGTCTGCAGTTTGTCTGTGAATTCACATTTTCCCAGGATATTTAATACCTAGCAGTGATGTTATTATCCAGCCCCAGCCCCAATAGAAGTAATTGCTGTGCATTTACCTGGAGAACTATGTCCTTTCCCACCCGTGTGATATTCACACTGTGCGGCTGTCCATTTGACACATTCCTGTGATCTACATTGATGTTGTATGGCTCTTTAGCACCTCCAAGTTTGTATCGAACCTGTAAATTTCCTACAGAATTAAGTTTTAAATAGTTGAGTGGTTTTTATTTCATTCTTAGATTATTCCATTAAACATCCTACTTTTAAGTTTCCACACCTTTCACCGTTATTAAATATTATGTAAAGTTAACCGCAAGCACTCTCAACTCCTGGTGCCTGCATCCATGCAGGTTTGTTTGTTTGCTTTTTGGCTGCTATATAGAAGTGGTTTGCCCACATGTTCTAAAAATTCTAGAATTTTTCAAAATTCTAATCCTGGAATTCCAAGGTTGTCTCTCGTCTGAATATTAAGCAGGCCAACCCTTCTTAGCTTCTGAAATCAGGCCAGATTGGCATTGTACTGTCACCTGCTGATTGTTATAATGAGTTGAAATCCAATGGATATTTTACATCCCACAGAGGCAAAACCAGGGTGTGGGGATTCAGCAGGGAAGCACAGGGGTCCCTACCAGGTGCTTCTGTCCTATATACAAAACATGTTCTCAAAAATCACTTTTCAGCTCCATCAAACTTTTGTTGTACAATGGAGATGTAATATGTGCAGGGAAAAAAAAGGGGGGGGCAAATTACTTACCAGATGGATTCACCAGCACTGCCATGTAGTCCTGAGAATAAGAACTGATGTACAGCAGGATACAAGGAGCTTTGCTAGTGCTGAAGCTAAAACTGATCTCTTCTTTATTGAGAGTCAGATCTGGTACAGAGTTCTCTGATTCTTTGGAGCTCAAGAGAGTTCTGCTCCCTGAATCCTTCACATTATTTCCTACAAATGAAAAATTATACCGGAGCCACATTCCCTCTTCAAAAAAGGCTCCAACATCTGGTGGAAGGAGAAACAGAGAAAATTAAAGTAGAATGGCATATGATATAGGCATTGCTTTTAGAGATATGGGCAAGTGTGATTCACAGCTTCATACATTACACTGCAATGGATTGGTGTATTTCTCTTCCTTCCCATCACAAACCATTTTACCTGCAGAGTACATCCTGGCTTAATATCTTGGTTAGTAAACAGACATTAAATAAGGTTCCCCGTTTTGTTTAAACAAATTAGCATCTCCATGTTTTATGAAGCAGAGGATATAATGCTCACATTTCCCCAAGGGCTTTCAATTTGTATGTTTTTAAATTTGTCCAATAAAAGCTGCATAATGCTAATACATAAAATTTAGCTGTGGTCTTCAGTCCCTCTCAGATATCCTAGAAGACCTGGACTTCTTCCAGGTTTCAGGCTCCTGGCGAAAATATGAATGAAAATTACTGGAAGAAAGAAAGAAAGAAAGAAAGAAAGAAAGAAAGAAAGAAAGAAAGAAAGAAAGAAAGAAAGAAAGAAAGAAAGAAAGAAAGAAAGAAGCATTACACATACATGTCATTACATGTCAAATTAATGAGACATTAATTTAATATTTTTAAGTTAAATAATAGGCAAGTAGCTACAGTTGAGCCTTTGCTTTGAGTCTGAGCTCAAGGCTGATGGCCTTCTAACTGGTCTGTTGGCCTCACAAAGGCTACCCCTCCTCTTCATATCAAGCATATTTTACTATATTTTAGCAAGGCTGAAAAGGGACTGTTAAAAATGTGAAGGTAAATGCTGAGTAAAGAAAATATAAAAGATGTGATATACGCATTTTAAGGAGACTTCTTCAGAATTCTAGCAATGTTTTTAGGCTTTGCCATTACCCTGTTTCAGAATAAAAACATATTAATGTATTAGAAGTGTCGCTAGTGAAGTCTCATAAAACAACTTCTTTTCAAAACTCTCTGTGGTGAATTTATAGCTGTCATTCTACAGCAGAAACAATAAAACATGTCCAAAATACTAAAACTGAAAGCAATTCCATTTTACTTCTTTCTTCCTTGTAATATCCAATTTGGCTGCCTTTGATTGAAGATTAAAATCTCCAGCTTACATATGGGTACTATCAAACATGAACCAAGCCTGACCCCACTTTATGTTTCAATGGTATTCTGCCCACAACATCAAACTTCTCAGATCACTGGCTTGTTATTGATTGTTCCCAAGACCAGGCATTTTCTTAAAGGCCAACGTTCAATATCTATAGTTTGTGTAAACAGGCTGCAAGGATTGCCCCAAATGCAGAGTAAAGATATGAATTGATTCCCCCCCACCTTGGAAGGCCTTAGTTAGGGTTACCAAAAATATTTAGTTGATTATCTACCTTTAAATTATATAATCTATTAATAATGTAATTGCTTTATATATTAAAAACTTTAATAAAGGTATCCTCTGAAGATAATAATAGCTCCTTGTTGGAAAAAAAGTCCATACTCTAGAATCTCTCTCTTCTTTCAAGGAACTTTTGTGATCGTCCTAGGCTACATTCTCTTTACACAAACCGATTACGGGGTGAAGGCTTTAGGAACCACTTCTACCACATTTACTTTTGAAGATGGGCAAGAATAACTGTAGCAGCTCTTCAGGCTTCTGAGGGGCCTCAGAATTTTTTAGTAATGAGGGATCAACCACTGTTTGTGTTTCCGGCCATCTCAACAGTTGAAAATATGAAAGTCTTTAATTAGGGTTACTAAACCTAAGCTGTAGAAATGCAGAGACCCACTAGATGGAAGCAAAGGTCATAACTTTTCTGTAACTCTTTGGTGCCATTTAATGGTTATCCAGGTATTTGTAGGCTGGATATGACATCCCTCTGTTAACCTTCACTCATCTTCAGACTGTAACTAAAGGCACACTTCTTAGACTGAGTATGTAAGATGTTTCACTGGTTTACCACATTGACTGATGAAGAAATCTGGAGAATCTGACAGCTTTCACATATATGATCTCAGTTGTTTGATTAAGGTATTTCCCTAGATTTGTAGTTGATTTTAGCTGATTTTTATTTGTAAAGTTGTATATAAAGTAGTTTAATTTGCTTCTTTTCTAGCAATCCTGAAAATAATCGATTTCTAGCATGCATTACCCAGTATTAGTACTTGGATGCCTTTATTCAGTAATTCCACCAACAGGAACTGTGACTGAATGGAGAAAGTGTACTGTCTGCCATCATGCCAGGTGATCTCCCACACAGACAAACTGTGCTTATGGGTAGCATCCTGAGTTTGTAAAACGAAGCAGATGAGGGGGTTTGATACTGTCTCACAGAATGGGGGAAGTTGAAATGGACTAGAAGCTGGTGTGAGGTAGGTTGGGGGGAAGCTGGGGCAGGTAGCGGGGGGAAGAGAAGGAAGATAGCTAGTAAGCCAAGTGGGAATTAAGCAGTCTTGGGATGCTGAAGAGATACAGGATTCAAGATCACTCAAGTTAACCAAAAAGGAATTGGCATAGCAGTTGCTATGTAAGGAAGAGAGAGAGAGATGGGAAAGGAGGAGGAGGACGACGACGAGCAGCAGCAGCAGCAGCAACTCTCCTTAAATGGTAGCCCAGTCTACAAGGAAGTCCCCTACATGTCAAGATTCTTCCTTTGGCAGAAAGGGAAGACATTGAAGCTTTCTTTGTGATGTTTGAGGGGTGTGTAAATAGTCCAAAAGGGAATGGGTGGCAAGTCTGGCAGCTGGTCTCGCTGGAAAAATATTGAGACCTTATTCTAGACTTTTCAGTTAGACAGGTGGGAGAGTATGAGAATGTGAAAAAATGATTCTATACAGGTAGAGTATTTAAAGATACACACTGACAGAAATTCAGATAATGCTCCCATGATCTGCAGGCCTGAGTTACAGAATTGTGGGCCAGGCTGCTGGATTCAGGAATCAAATGGCTGCAACTCAGTGTAAAAAACAGTGAAGACATGGTAGAAGAAATAGTTCACAAACAGATCTTGGAAGTCCTACCAAGTTCAGCCAGTGCTGGATTCAAGAGCACCACCCTAATACAGGAAAGAGGGCAGAAGAAATCATTGAGGATTATTTTGTGGACTGGACAGCCTTCTCTCCTTTGTGGAATTCAGTGCTTAAAGAAAATAGTTGGTACCACTCTTCTGGACCCTGGTGTGTGTGTATGTGTGTGTGTGTGTGAGAGAGAGAGAGAGAGAGAGCGAGAGCGAGAGAGAGCACAAGAGCAAGAGCCAGAGCGAGGAGGGCAGGAGAGAAAACTTGATCTGTGAAGTTTTTGAAGAATTTGGTTTGCTGCCAAGATATCTGCTGCTTCGTTTTGGTTACACTCTTCAGTTGCATTGTTAACTGAATGCACTGGTTCTGTTTTCAACAAATTCAGTAAGGGTTTGAATAGCTTAATTGTTGCTCATTGTATATATCAGCTAAGGAATCCTTTGGATCAAAATATAGGGCAGGGATTAAGGAAATAATCCAGGCAAAATAAAATTCTACTGATTTCAATAGGAATTAAACATTTACCTCTCTGTATAGGACCAAAAGCTGCAATCACTTTTCCCAGCAATAGCTTTGTATAACCTTTAAAGTTTAGTTGCATTTTTCCATTTCAAGTATTGTATAAACTAAATACAAATTAGTTGCAGGCACACTCATTCTCTCCTGAATTGTGGGCTCTACTGATAAATTAGCATGGGTTAAATTGAGACAGTTTTTTGGGTGAGATGATTTAGACTACCATTTTTTAATATAGCTTAGTATTCTTCTTAATGTAATATTTGTTGCTTTTCTGTTGTAATCCAATCATCGAAACACCCACATTGTCAAAAGCTACAGCAGACCTGACTGTCATAGGACAGGTTACTAGACACACTGCTCCCTTTTCAAGTTAAAAGTTTAAGGGAAATGAAGATTTTACAAATGAGATCAGCTTCTTGTGGCAAATGAAATATATTTCTGTGTTGATATGCATCGTGTCCTCATGCTATAGAAGCAGACACTGCAAAAACCTTAAACACAGGAAATCTGAATAAACCATTAGGTAAAGAAAAGATTTGTGAAGCATTACAAACATATTTATAAACTCTGATGTATAATCTGAGTCTGTATGAGGCATATTTCAATCAATCTGTTAAATTGCAGGTGGAAAATAGGTCTGTTCAAGTAACAGAATAGGGCAAAGACAGGCATTCAGTTACCAATTTGGAGCTTAATATGCAATGAATTTATACCCACTTAGAAAATTGATCCCAGCTAAGGCTTTCCTCTGAAATATGTGCTTTAGTTTACATGCAGGAGTGGGTGTTATTTAGATATTGGCAGAATGAAGCAGTATTATTTAACATTGTGGTATTATTGTAAAAAATAATCTTGGTCATTATGTGGAAGGAAGAATTGACTAGCTTTCATAGCACCAAAAGCCCAAAGACTGCAAAAATGCGGGGGGAGGGCAGGGGGAGTGCTTAGGAACTGAGTTTGGGAAGAAGGGGAAGGTTCTGTAAACACTACAGCAGTGGGGATCACTTTTGCCTGTACTCCCCATTCCTGCTGTTGCCACAATGAAAAACAAAGAACATCATGGTCAGAAATATCGGAAAAAGCACCTGGGTGCAAAAATGCTGATATGCTATTCATTTGGCTTTATGACTCAGAATATAGCTGCTTTGTTTGATAAAGTAATTATCACAAGTGGCACTTAACTTGGTCCTCAGCTATCCTCTAGAGATGCCATCCACTAAAGAAACACATTGTTGCTTACTGGTGAGGCTGAGTACTTATCTGCTAAATGTGCCAGTAGTGATTTACTGTAGAATAGCCTTTTCTAAATTCTGCCTGTTAATCCCCCAGCATAATAATTATCAATCCACATTTTATTATTTATTTGTATTGCTTTTAAAATAATAATTCACAATCCACTTTAAAAAATTGATATGAACATAGTTATCATAAAGTTACCTGACTCCTGACAATAGACTAAACCAGTTGTCAAAATACTTTGTGATCCTTAGCCTG